CGGGGTCCAGCAGCCATGGCTCACGGGCCCAGCCGCTTCGCGGCACGTGGGATCTTCCCGGACCGGGGCATGAACCCATGTCCACTGCATCGGCAGACGGACTCTCAACCACTGCGCCACCAGGGAAGCCCGAACTGGCATATTAATGAATGATGCCCTCGTAACCATTGGGGACTTTGGTCCTGGACTCCAAGTCTTTTCCTCTACCACAATACTTGCTATGCCAACAACCCACAGATTTTCCTGGGCACAAAATTCCTCAGCCTCCTACTGTGCAAATATACAGTAGGGTTTTATTGTTCGGGGAGGGGGGCTTATAAGCAGAACAATAACAGAGTGCACTCAATCCCCCAAGCTTTCAGAGAAGGGGATTAGACCAGACTTAGCTGCATTTTGTGTCCCATGACCAGAGTTCCCGTAGATGAGGAACCAGCCTGGAGTGCGTCACAGTTACAGGGATGGTAAGGAAGGGAACGTCTGTACTACTAACAGTGGCAACTGCTTGGTGACAGAAATGGTCACAGTAGAAGGGGGAGCCTATTTTTTCCATTGAGCTCACTGGTACCTGCTGAGCTAGCTTTTTGCTGAGCTACTGAAAGGGGAAAGGAATGAGTGTCCAGGACTATCTGAATTATTTCTCATCACCTTCTGGATTCCCAACACCTCACTGATCTCCATTCCCAGGTTACATTTGGACCTTATCATCATCTGGAATTTGTCATAAAAAATCTTAAAGTACAATCTTTCATTCTCTGAACATAAGCTCTTGTCCTTTCAGTTCTCACTCGTGTACCCACCGTACATGCTCTTCAGTTGCATCAAAACCTCTGGTCTGGTGCCCCATTTTCTCCCAGTTCCTACTTGGTCTAAACACCCAAGTTGACCTCTCGGCCTCTCTACTTTTAGGCCACCATCAAAGTACTCTTTGTAAAACTCAAGCTTGGTCATGTCTCTTCTCTGTTTAAAACGTTGTAGTTTGTGCTCTGTTCGCTCAAGGCCATGTGCCTTGACCAGGCCCTTTGGGATTGGTTCTCTGCTCGCCCGCACAGCCTCACCTACTGCCCTTTCCTCCTTGTGCTTCATGCTTGGGAACACCAGACGGCACACGCTTCAAGCCCACCCAAGGTTTCATGCCTCTTGCCTCTGTACTGTCCTCCGTCTAGAATGCCTTTCCTTCATCTCGTCCTCCCAAGAAACTTCTCTTTGGCTTTCTTCTTCCCCTCCTCTAAGCCATCCCTCACATTTACTCCTTTCCAGCCAACCAAGAGCTGAACCACTTCTTGGTACACTGCCATTGTCATGTCAACACACTGTCTTCTACGTATAATATGTCTTCAGGTGTCTGTGCCTCCTCTCAGTCTTAGGGCCCCGCAAGAGCAGGGACTTTGTCCTAATCATCTCTTTCCCCAGCACCAGGCACAGTGTCTGGCATATAATCCAGGCCCAGATCAAGTTCTTCCTTTTTCATGGACCCTCCCTAGTTTCCTAACTCTCCCACCTCTGAATCCTACAATTTTCTTCTCTGTATCATTTTTGCCCTAATCATATATTGTCTCATTTCATTATCTTTTAAAAAGTGGCTCATTTCTCTGACAGATTTCATCGAAATCAGAATTTTCATTCATTTAGTAGCTGTTGGCCTTGTATCTCCCTCTCCCGTTCTATCTCTCAGGTCTCAGTAAGGATTTGGGCTCTGAGCTAGTTTGTCCATCATAAGATGGTGACAGAAGCAGCCCCAGGCAGCCATGTTTTGTACCACCTGACCCTGGGCACCCCTCCTGCTTCTGGGCCACGGCCAGGGATGAGTCCC